ATCTAAACATTTTTTGACACAGCTTTTACTTTCTTTTCTGCCTCGCAGTTTACACAACGTCGGCAGCTCTTCCATCTCATGATCTATCGGCGATTTAGATGATTTAACCACCACTAGAACCAGAAAATCATGCATTACAACTTTACTTAGAGGCTGAAAAGACATCACTTAGTAGAAAAATAACTTCACTTTGATAGCAATTTTATAGTAAAATTTATAGTCATGTGCGTCACAATTTACTATATATGGTTCCCTGGTTCCCCATTCGGAAACGAATTATCAATTAAAATACATAAACGCAGAGATTAATGTTTACCCCATAACTTCACTGACACTATTAACTTTAATTTCTTGTAATCCACTTAATGATATACTTCCGCTGGGATCTTCTCTAATCAAGAGTTGTGGTTTATCCTCTTCACTACCTTCAGAAAGTAGGTCAATAAGATCTTCATTATAAAATTCCACAAAGGATACTCTCATCGAGAATTTACGTTGTTTATATTGAACCGAATTTATCGCAGAGAAAAGGGAGGTCATTGCACGTGGAATTATACCCATTGATTCTGGGGGTGAAGTAAAGTCATTAGATGTTCCCATTGTATGAGTTTTACCTGATGAAGTTTGGCCGTACGCTAGAATCGTTACGTTAAAACCTATGGTTGGAAAAAAGAGGGAATATATTTTTAATTAAGACTTTATACATAAGAATATGTAACACCAATAACGTCACGCGTTAACGAAAGTAAAATTTTAAATTCAGTTGCTATGTTTTAATTAGACAGTCAGATTCCCCTTGTTCGTACCAGTTCTAAGTTGATTGTTAAGTGCGTACTGGACGTACAAAGTACAAGCCAGAATCTTCCAGTTCGAATAGCGAAAGGTTCCGAATCAAGTTGCCCATCGTCGGCCCCAATGCTTATCAAACCTTCCAATCCTGACCCAATACGCCCAATCCTTAGAGCCAATTCTTTTCCCAAAACTACCAATCTAATTTTCCGACTTTCCTTATCTACTTTTACGTGTCATTTAATTAGTTTAAAGTTATATTAACACTTACCATCTAAAAATTTATCGACCATTTTCGTTATCGCACGTTCGTATACTTCTTTTTGGCTACATTCTTGACCAAAAACATGGTCAAATGTAAAGTTTTGTTTTGTCTCATGTCGTACCGTGACTTGGTTTGGAGCGTACGCCGCAGTGGAGAGAACATTACGTTGAAATCGTGCTGGTATGTTAATTAAGTCTTCTGGAGTTAAAGGTCTTATTCGAAGAGCTAAAAATAAAAAAAAAAAAAAACAAAGATACAAATTGATATAAAATTGTGATAGACCAATGAAGTAATATTTAAATTGTGCGGCACTTACCGACTTGTATAGTGGTATCTTCATTTGTTGTTGTATTAGACATTTCAACACAAATTGCAATTCGAAAGAGATTCTTTTGTTAAGAATGAACACGGGCCGGTTTTTCAATGATTAAAGATTGCGTAAATGGCGAATTTTTTTCGTTAGGTGCCAGCCCAATATGTAAAAGTGTTAAATGGACCAAATGGAATTCGAACTGTACAGTGAGTGTATTAAGAATTAATGTTCTAACTCTTCTAACTCTAAAGTAAAATTGATTTTATTAACATGTAATTATTACTATAAACAAAAATGAAAGATTTTTTCTTTTCTTCGCATTGATTTCTTGCAGGATACACGGTTATGTTTTATTTTTTTATTTTTTTTTATGTTTTTATGATTATTATTAAAAATATTTTTTTTTTGTAGGTCGTTTCAAATCGATGTCGTTAACTTGAACGAATGAATGTGAATAGTTGGGAATGGATGAGAGTGATGAAAAGAGTGTTAAAGATGGAAGAGCTGCCGACGTTGTGTAAACTGCGAGGCAGAAAAGAAAGTAAAAGCTGTGTCAAAAAATGTTTAGAT